GGCCCTCCCCAGCCCCTCCTGCTGTGCTCCTCCAGGCTCCGCCCTGCCCCAGGACTTCTGTCTGCTGTCCCAGGGCGTGTGCCTCGTGCCTCGTGCCCATCACCTAGTTTAATCTCCAGCAGCTCCGCACCTGCCTCGCGGGGCACCTGCCGTCCGGAACAGCTGCCGGCAGCCGCACTTCGGCGCCTCCACACCCAGTTTCCAGTCACCGCCGGAAACGAACGTCGCTCCTGTCGAGGCGGCCGTTGCTCTCTCTCTGTTGTGATTTATTGTCGTAATTATTCCCCTTAGCTCTGGAAGGCACGTGGGGGGAGACAGTGTGCGCCAACGTGCAGTCCTTGATAATACGATTCCAAACCGTCCTTGTCAACGACGGCAGAGGGTGACAGAGCCCAGTGTCCCCTCCCACCTCCCTTCATTTTTTCCCTATTCCTTTGCCTGATTGCATCCACTTCCCTGCGTTTCTCTCTTCCCTTCCTCCCCAGTCCCCCTCAAGATACGACTCAGTGATCAGATTCGGGGGGTAAAAGGCACAACAGCAGCCCCATAAAGCCCGATTCCTCCAGTAAGACGCTTCTATGGTGGCGAAACTGGCTATCCAGGTACCAGACGACAGGCACCACGGAAGAGGACCACGCGCTATTCCCCGTGGCTGACACTCAGAGAAGGGGAGGGCTGGGGGCCTGGGATGGTCAGTAGAACTCCACAGAAGACGCTGAACTTGACCCAGGCCCCTCGGGAGAGGACCAGGCAGGAGGGGACGGCACGTCCCCCACACAGAATGGCGGCCCCTTGTTGCCTGGTACGTAGCTGCCAAACTGGGGCCACGTCTCACTCCTGATGCCACATTTGTGTGTTTCAGCCCAACAGCAGCAATGACAACATCCAGTCCATCACCTCTGGGGACTGGGACGTGACCAAGATCCTGTCCTACGACGAGAAGCGGAATAAGATGTGAGTGGAGCCAGGGCCTGGGGCAGCTTCCTGGCCGGGGCGGTGAGAGGCACGTTTGTTATTGTTGGTCAGGTTATTCTTATGGAGCGCGGGAGCCCAGGAGGCCTCGTGTCTCCTTCCTAGACAGCACCACTAGCTCCTGGTCTTGTCGGAAACGTGTCCTGTATTCCGTGTTAGCAGCCAGAGCTGCGAAGTCCTGACGCTGGCGCCAGGCGCGCGTTAGCACCATAGCGGCGGTAGTGGTGGTACCCATAGTTGTTGAGGCCCGGCTAGTTCCAGGTGCCGCACCGAGTGCCTTGCAAGCATTATCTCATTTAATGCAGTAATTCCATGAGGTAGGCTCGCTGCTTTCCCTGTTTTAAAAATAAACAAACTAAGACAAAAGGAAGGTAAGGAGTTTACTCCAGGTCATTCAGCTGGTGGCAGGTGAAGTCGACTCAGACAATGGGCATCCAACCGGGTGCCACCCTCAAGGCTGTTTGGCCGCCTGCTCTGCGATGGGGCCACGGTGTCTGCACCAGGTGTCTCAGACAAAGATCACGCACCGTATCGGGCCAGGCTCTAGGTCCGGCCTTACAGTAGGTGTCCTGGGCCCTTGCCCTCCAGAAGGTTACTCTTGTGAAGATCCAAATCCAGGGGGTTGTCACAGCCGCCCTCACCCCTGCAGCAGTGCCCCGCGGCTCCGGAGTGAAGGCTGCTGCCGAGAGCCTACAGCACCTGCATGGGCGTGTCCCCCAGCCCGTAGGTGCCTGGCCATCCCCTGCTCTGGCCGCAGGCACGGCTGGACCTGAACAGAATTGCTCCCGTGGGCCACGGGACGGCGGCAGCCCCAGGCGTGGCTGTGAAGGGAGCGCAGGGGTGTGGGGGCAGATGCGCCTGCCAGCAAACTGACCCCTTGCTCCTTGACATCTTCCAGCTACTTCCTGAGCACGGAGGACCTGCCTCGGCGACGACAGCTCTACAGGTAGCCCGGCCGGCCCCCCCAGCGCTCAGGGCTCTCTGCGGTAGGGCGGGGAGGCAGCGGAGAAAGATCCCACTGCGGAGGGGTAGCTGCGAAGTCTGGAGAGAGAGAACACAACTTGCGGAGGCCCCTGAATTTGAAGCTTTATTTTATTTTTCTGCTCGTATTGCATTGCGTCCACCCCCACTGACTCTCCCTTCTGATAAGCGATGGAGCAGCCTCTGCCTTTCACCTACGCTCAAACGTCCGCTTAGAGGAATTGCGCTCACCTGGGTTTTGCTAAGGGCAGAGTCAGGTTTGGAAACCCACCATGGGCGAGGAGGGGTCGACCTGCCGCCCTGCAGTGCTGCCTGCTCGCCGTGTGCCGGCGGGCGAGCTCCATCACCCAGAGGAGGCAGGGGCTGGGGCTGGCCCACTCCAAATCCTGCAGAGGGCCTAGGCCTTTCCTAGGGTCTGCCCCTCTTCAGCACTCAGTCTGGTCACTGCCCCAGTTACTGTTCTCACTACAGAAGGCTCTTGGTTCTGAAGTGGGATCGGCCCTGGGAGCTCCCCACCTGTGGCAGAGGGAGGGGCCGTCTGCTGCCGCCTTGGAGGCTTCCGGACTAGGGGAGGGCTGCGCTGCTGGCTGCCCAAACGCACCCGGGCCAGAGAGGATGTCACTCAGCGCAGACCTCAGGCTAGAGGCCGGTGACTCGCAGTCTGGACTGGGCCACCGCTGCTGTGACGGTGGAAGCCCCCTGGTGCCCGACAGGCCTCCCTCCGTCCACCAGCCTCTGTGCTGAGGTGCGAGGGCCGGCAGGGGGCCCGGGAGGAGGGGACACATGGCTTGCTCTTCCGTAGCTTCCGTCACTGCGTGCCTGCTAGGAACATTGAAATCGGTCCTGTCACCAGATTAATAACAAGTGCCAAGGCAGCCTGCAGACCCTTTCCTCTGACTTAGAGGATGAGAAAGTCATCTTCTCTCTTCCATGCGAGATCTTCGCTCTTACAAAGACAGGCTTCCAAACGGAGCCTGCGGTTAGAGCAGGCCCTTCCCGAGCGGAATGTTCAGATAAGAACCTCCAGGTACATTCGGCACCCCAGGGCCTTTCCATCTGGGGAACCGCATTTTAGGCCTTCTTCACCTGAGGTTACGTTTGGTCAGAGGGGTCCCAGGTGACATCCTCGAGTTGGCTCCTATCCGTCTAGCTACACTGAGAAGCAGCATCTTCAGCAACTCCCTCTCTCAGGAGCGTCGGCTGTGAAAACAGCTGGAGCTCAGCTCAGCCGGTGCTGCACACACCAGCGTTTGGCACTCCGGGGGATTCGAAGATGCATAAACCCTCCCTGCTGTTCTCAAATCGCTAATCATGGGCTCCAAGAGACAGGATACATGGGGGCAGATTACCAGGTCGTAACACCAAACACCTGCACCCTCTTCACGCCAGGCCACGCCACAGCCTGGGTGGAGTAGCACAGATGACCACATGCCACGGTCCCGGGGGCGACGGTGCTGAGAGTTCTCGAGAGTAGGAGGTCAGGGAGGGCTTCCCCGGGAAGGTGAAGTGGAGCTGGGAGCTCACAGGCATCCAGCGGGGAGGCTGGCAGACGAAGGCCAGGAGAAGGGCAGCAGGGCTCCCAGGATGCCTCCGTAGGAGAAGGCAGTGAGCTGGGACACCCAGGGAGGAGATGGGGACCTTGACTGCGGCTTTGCTCTTCCAGCGCCAACACCGTGGGCAACTTCAATAGGCAGTGCCTCTCCTGTGACCTGGTGGAGAATTGCACCTACTTCAGTGCCTCCTTCAGCCACAGCATGGACTTCTTCCTGCTCAAGTGCGAAGGTAAGCGCCTAGCACCCTCTCCAGCCTGCTTCCGGGCCATGCCGAGGCCCGCGGCAGGCACCTTGACTCGCAGGAAGGGGCAGGTAGCCGTGGAAGGAGCACAGTGTGTTCCAGGACAGGGAGTGACCCACCTACCTGAAGGTGTAGCTCACGGGACAAGATTGCCGGACCCCTGTGAGCCTGGTGCAGTTGTGCTAGCTCACGTGTTACAGGGGCTTACAGTTTATCCGTGTTCTCTACATGCCGGGCTTAATCCCATAGTCTGTCGCCTGTTGTCCATAAAAAAATGCAGTCCTGTGACCAGGCAGGCAATATCTTACATATCGATGAGCCTGAGCCATCTACAGAGGTAATAAACAATGTCAAAGGTCAGCCTTTCGAGCATATTTAAGGATGGGGTTATATTAAAGAAGTCTCAGAAAAATATTTTCCTGTGGCCCAACTCATTAATAATTCACCCCAAATTTCGGCAAGTGTTTTATCACAGCAATCAGCAAACACAAAGGGGTAGGCAGTGTCCTGTGGTGGGTACAAAGATTATCTTTGTATCTTGTCCTATGTCTTGGAAAGATCAGATATGAACCCATGAAAAGGTAAGTTAATAATAAATGTGACCATAACAAAATATATTTCGAAGAGTTTGATCTCCTGGGGTGGCCTCAAAGAATGAAAGTGCTACGGGTGGAGACTGAGAGCAAAAGCAACTCACTCCTCAGTTTCAGTCCCACCAGTCCCAGGTGGAGAATGAATAATTTTTATTAGAGCAGCGTCTGTGGCAGCCTTTGCCAGCTACTGCATAGCTCATGGCTTCGTAACTTCCTTCTCTGTGTCAGCGTCATCTAAAATCCTGAAAGTCTGCAGAGCAGGAAGGCTTAGCTCTCGCTCACCACGAGCTCAGCCCCGACATTCTTCCAAGGCAGTGGGGAGACCACCGGAGTTTGAGGGGGTCTGAAATGCAGCATTGGTGTCCCAGTCCCCTGGCTGTTTATCGCACCGAACTCCTGTGCCTCTCGGGAAGCACAAATGCCTGAAACCTCAGGGTGCTGGAGGAGGAAGATGGAACTGACCCGCTTCCCTTCCTAGATGACAAACCCCAGACTCCAGGTGAGTCAGTGAAACCAACGGGACCAGCGTCAAGGTCTCCCGACTGCTAGCGCAGTGATCCCTGTGTCCCTGTGGCAGCATCCTCATGAAAGGATGACGGAGGTTTGTAGGGCACAGAGACCGGAAAATGCGGGGCAGACCCACTGGGAGACGCAGAGCTATGACAAGGGGCTGTGTAATCAGAGATCTGAAATCTTAGACAGAGGAGGGGCTTTAAAACAGAGGTGGTCATGATAAAATATAGAAGCGAAAAATTCAAGTAGATTTGAAGAAGAATGTCCCAAACAACAATGGTTAAATGAGAAAGGTGTCAGGACCTCCGCCATGATGTTTAAAAGAGGATGGATGCCATTGGCAGAGATGGGTTTAAGGGCAGCTTCCAGAAGCCATGGAGATGTGGTTCTGACTGGTCAGGGCAGCAGCCATTTGGACGTGTGTCTCCTGGGTTCTTACTAACTCGTGCTGGTCTTCGCGCTGGTGGTGATCTTTCACAGACTCCAGCACTTGTTTGGAAATCTTTTCTTGGCGACACTGGAGGTCGAAGCTCCCTTCTAAGTACAAGCCCAAGTTCAGTCTGACTGGCCTCGTTCTGAAGCTGGAAACTGGAGCCTTTTATTGTTCGGTTGCCGTAAGTCCCAGCCCTGAGTCGATGAGCAGAGGCTTTCCCAGGAGGTCTGTGGCCCTGGATTCAAGCGGGGAAGTTCCGGTTTCCCATATGGTGGATGTAAATGCGGCGCCATGTTGGGAGGCTATTTGGACAAAGTGTGTTTGGAGATCACCGAACAGCTGTTCCTGTTCAAATTTCCAGTGTGCCTGCTGGGATTCTGTACTCAGGACAGAATACATTGGTGTTTATGTTTATGTCATAGCCAGTGTGAGGACATTCCCTATTTGCAAGACTGCTTGTGCTGTGGTCTACAAGTGGTAGTGTGAAGAGATGGCTCCTCAGTTGGTACGATGGAGGCAAATGGAAGCAAAGAGCAAGTACAGCCGTGCAAGTCGTGTGCACCGTCGACCTGGCCTGTAGATACAGCCACCTGAGTGAGACACAGGGTGGACCCGGCCCACAGGTACAGCCACCTGGGTCGGATGCACAGTTGACCCAGCCCACCAAGCAGCATTGTGATCTCAACTTCAGAAAGGATGGGGTGCTCCTCCCACAAATGCCTGGATCCCCACAGTAACCCAACAGAGTCACAGAATTTGAAGAACAGGAGTAGATCCCAGAGATTATCTGATCCAGCTTCCACCTCCCCCTCCATTTTGTCAATTAAGAAATTGAGGTCTTGGCTGGGCACGGTGGCTCACGCCTATAATCCTAGCACTCTGGGAGGCTGAGACGGGGGATCGCTCAAGGTCAGGAGTTCAAGACCAGCCTGAGCAAGGGGAAGACCCCATCTCTACTAAAAATGGAAAGAAATTAGCTAGACAACTAAAAATATATATATAGAAAAAATTAGCCGGGCATGGTGGCACATGCCTGTAGTCCCAGCTACTCGGGAGGCTGAGGCAAGAAGATCGCTTGAGCCCAGGAGTTTGAGGTTGCTGTGAGCTAGGCTGACACCATGGCACTCTAGCCAGGGCAACAGAGCCAGAGTGTGTCTCAAAAAAAAAAAAAGAAAAGAAACTGAGGTCTTAACTGATCATGAAGTTATCACCCTAGGGTTATCCAAATCATTTAAAATATATTTAAATACTTACCCTGTTGCCTCCTCTTAAGGTTAAGCATATACCAGCCCTCTTCTCTACAAAATTACTCTTTTTAAAATTTTTATATAATAATATATATTCTGGCTATAGTAACTTGAATGCCCAAATTAAACTTTTCCCCCATAACTAAAACCCTGTTTTCAAAATATTTTCTAAAAAGCATACATTCACAAATGGATGAGGGGACAACAGCGCCCATCTTTTTGAATCTGGAAGCAGTTGCCAGAGATGACTAAGCAGACCTGAAAGCTAAGCCCTTATCCGGGGATAGGAGAGCTGAGCAGCAACCCAGTTTACACCACAGGCACTGGCCATGATCGCTATGAGGATGAAGGGTTCACTTGTTACAGAATTTCTTTAAATTTATATGTATAGCTCCTCATCAGTCAACTTGAGTGTCATTAAACTTCAAAGGAGAAAATAATTATACCGGGTTGGGTTCCTTGGGGTTGTTGCTGGGGGCGAAGAATTGAGGTAGCATTTAAAATAAATAGGCAGGAAGGATATAGAATGGGAGGAGCAGTCTGAGGGGAAGGTATGGCCTGAGAAAAAGCGTAAGGAACATTCTAAGATTACACAGTGGTAATGGGCACACTGAGCATCCTGACGTAAGCCTTGTACAAGGTGCTAGTGTAACAAAAACATGTGTACCCCCTTAATATTTTGAAATTTTAAAAAAAGATTATGCAGTGGATTTCTTTTGCAGCCTGTGAATCACAATCTAGTGAATATATGCATTTAAG